GAAAAGTTACACACTATTTATCAAAATACAGCCAATCAATGCGACTGCAAACACCTAATAAACATTTGTTGGTCAATTTTATAGGCGTCGCGTCGGTGATTGTGGAAAAAATGGGTGGACAAACATATATGTCGCATCGACTAGACTGATAAGGAGACAGGACGTACACGCAGCTGATGACGTCATCTGGATGTCGAGCACACGACAAGATAATTAGTATGCAAAACAACAGCGTACACTTGATTAATAAACATCCTTTGTTGTCTCGTGTTGTTTCCTATCCCTTTGTTGAGGGTTAAGCTCCGCTCGACAAAGTCGACAGCGGAGCTAAAAAATAGAATATCCCAAAACTGAGCATAGAAATGTTTGCAAACCTTAGGTTTAATAAAGGGGGTAGGAATGTACAACTATATTAATATAAATTGAACAAGTTTGAACAAAATCTATCTGTAAACAGTTGAGAAATGCTTGATTTTGATGATTCCTTAGCACCAAAATAGCCATCATTCGGTCATTTTTAATAGGATTGTCAAACCAATACATCTGTATTCTATGACATGATGTATAATGAATATTTAAAATTTGAACATAATCAGTAACAGCAAGTCAGAGATATGGCACTAGAACCACATTTATTCAAACAAAATAGCTGCCAGTCCTATCTGAAAACAAAATGATGTGCATCAAGGTCCTATAATGTCCAACGTATATACCAAGTTTGAACAAAATCCATCTGTAAACAGCCGGAAAATGTTTGATTTAATGATTTTTATAAAAAAGTTGGCCACCAATCAGCCATCTTGAATCAGATTGTGAAACAAATTGATGTGCATATGTATATCATGTATGATGTAAGTCTGAAGTTTGATTGTGATTAGTCAGGCATTTCTAAGATACAGGTATGGACGCACTCACAGAAACACAGACGCACGGAGGTCAAAACATACATTTGTATGTCCGAACAGGGACTAGCAATACCTTACCCCTTTACTAAACAAACTTGACTTAAATTTGATTAAATATTAATATAAATTATGAAAATAGTAAGGGTCGTCACAATGTAGGTCCTGTCTTCACAAGTTGGTGTGTAAAGTTAAATTGAAGTCATCACAACATTGGTACCACACATGCTTTACACAAGAGAGTCAACAAGCTGCTAGCAATTTGCACTAACCTTTGGCATATTGTAGTACTCCAATGCCATACTAATCACATTCAGTCCAATAATTGCGGCAATAAGTAAATCAAAATATTTATTCATGATCAAATCATGGATCACACGACGAGGTCTGCTGTATAACTCATAATATGGTGTCTCTTGAGCTTCTGTAGTGGAGAAAAATAAAAGATGAAACAATTGTTAATAATTTTGCCTTTGCCATATACACTAGAGTTAGGTGAAAGGAATAAAAAATAGACATCATATATATGGAAATATACATATAACAAAGTACAATTATAACCCAGTCCCTCTCTCAAATCAAAATTGCATTTTTCCAACTTTTGTATTCTATCTATCTTGACTACGCTGTTTTTTTCACTGTAAACTGGCTTATTTGTGACTCTGATTTTAGTATATTTCTCAGATCATCTTGTTCTCTCTTTCTTAAAACATTTAATTCCCCATTTCATTCAGATCGTTGATTGTATCTTTTCCATCTTCCTAGGGAGTCCATTTCCTTTTTCTAACTTATCCATAATGTTCAATGTAATATTAATTATTAATAAATAATACTTATTTAGGTTGTTCACTAATCCTAGCTATCACATCTGGAGAATCTATAATTTTCTTATCTCAACTATTAAAGTTGCTGGAACACTTTAAGTAAGCTGATAAAATTTAACAACCTTTCTGTCAGTGTCAGAGTGTTAAAACATTAGTTTTTATATTTGTTGTAAAAAAACACAATAAAATATAGTTAAATGAAAAAACAAAACAATAAAAGGTAGTTTAATGAAAACAAGCTTGGTCTGCATGTTACTTCATACACCTGGAGTTCGGCTACTATAGATGTATCTATTCGTTACAATGGTTCTCTTAAAGTCACATACTGAAACATGCCGGGATCAAAGAGCATGCTGGGAAAATTTATTGCTGCATGCTTAATTTTGTTTGTGCAGCAAATCTTCTGATTTTTTAATCAAAATACTTGCACAGAATGTATACCATACATTTGAGATTTGGATCACACTAAACATTTATTTTATTATTGCTGAAAACTGGTGAATAAATACAGAAGTTACACACAGATGTAATTTGTAAATAAATGCCAGTCATTAGCAACAAAAACGGCAAACAAGTGAGAAGAAGGAAATGTGCTTGTGAAATGCATTTCAAAGAAAGAGCAGAAAAATCCAGAATTAAAGAACTGCAAAAGGTGCTGTGTAAGTTATCAATAATCTTAGATAGAAAGAGAAACAGGTTTAAAAAACATGCAACTATCACATCCATTTTGGCCACTTTACATGTATTGGTAACATGCAACAATACATAGTACATACTAAAACATTGAATTGAATAGAACACCATCATTATAAGCCTGGTCATATTTACAAACCCACGCCAATATCAAATAAGAGATAGACAATTATGTCACTACACCATTCTCTACTTTTTTTTTTAATTTCTTTTGAATTGTAAAAGAACAGGACTTATAATGTATTTAAGTAGCCAAACAGTGAGAGTGAATACAGACCAGAAGTGCAATAACCGGCCATACTCTGTCTAGCTTTTTCCAGCTTGCGTTGACGTTTCTCCATTTTGCGTCTCAGCTCTTCAGCTGCCTGCTCTTCACGACATTTGTGGAAGTTCTCTACCACCACGCCAACAAACATGTTGAGTACGAAGAAACCAACAATCAATAAAAATGAGACAAAGTAAAGGATCAACCACTCATTATAGTTGGTGCGAGGCTGAAAATTTAAAAAAAAAAAAAGAAGAAAC